AATTAAAAGGCATAAAATTATAATATTTGGCTGGTGACTTCCCGGGATAGAGCTCACCAAAGTTTGCAAATGAAAATGACCTCAACCTACTTTAGAGGTCACAGAGGTCAACAACATTTTAATGGATTTGTTCTTGAGAACTAAAAGGAATGGATTCATAAGATTTGGCTGGTAGCTTTTTGGAATAGAGCTAACCAATTTGAGAAGGAAAATGACATTGATCTACTTACAAGATCACAGGGAAAAATATGTCGGCAACTTCTGAAGAAGAATCAAAAAGCATAGAATCTTATAATAATATTTTGCTGGTAGTTTCAACAGATGGAGCCAACAAAGTTTGCGAGGGAAATATTTTTAGTGCAATATAATATTTAATGAGAATATTTTGCTATGACTGCTTAAATATTCAGGTGAGCGATACAGGCCCTCTTGGGCCTCTTGTTTATTCTCCCAAACTGTTCATTTTTAGCCCTGCTTATAGAATTGTCCAAGTGCGTTCGTTTATTATGGAATATTTCTGCGCCACCTGTACCGTTTCAACCGGGATACGCGAATGTAACTTATGTTTTTACTTGCAGGTAGAGTGGAGTTCTATAGTATGCAATCTTCTACACATTCCAATGAGCATGTTACCAGAGATCAGAGATACAAGGTATTACCCTATCAAAAATATCTCACTTACTTAATGTGACTTGTTCTTGCTTGAAATCAAACTTGTGACTATCGGCACATTGGTCTAATTCCAGAATAGAACTGCTTGCTTTTCTTGTCAGTTAATCCTTCCTGAAATGCCAAGAAAACCTCGCCAAAGATTCAGTACCCAATTTAAGTAAATACCTCTGTCGACTACTAACAAGTTGTATATGTGTTGATGCCGGGGCATACAATGGGGTACCCTCAAATTGAACCTGCTTGTTTATTCTTTTTTTTTGTCTTTCTAAACATTTTTTTTTATAGGTTAGTGGTTTTTTATTGTAAAGTGTTATAATTTTGATACATTGTCATCTTTCTATAGACTTATTAAGAAATCTGTTTTTGTTGCAGTGGCTTAATTGTTCGGCAAAACTGATTCTTCCTTGTAAAAATTGTAAAATTATTTGTTTTCCTTATATATTAATCCTTCCTGAAATGCTATCCAATGATTCAGTAAAAATCTTTGTAGCTTACAGTTTTGCTTTCTTCAGTAAATGCTTCTTTCGTTTCCTTATATTTTTACATATGATTATCCCATGGGGTCAAATGGTATCTAGATTTATTCCCAGGTTTGATTCGGATTGTTCCCTTAATTTTCCTGTTTTCACTGAATAGCTTCTTTTTTTGGGGAAGTGTTGTGATGTGGATATATCATCATCTTTCTATAGAATTAATAAGAAATCTGTTTTTGCTGCAGTGGCTTGTTCGGGAAAACAGATGCTTCCTTGTTTGGTGCGGCTATCCCCATCACAGCTATGGTAAGATTGACACTTTTGCAAAATTCAATTACAAGACATTCCTTTCATAGTTAAAAAGAAGTATTTTCTTTATGCCTGAAATATCACTTAAAATTATCTTGATTTTGCGTTTTCTGGTTTAAATTGCTTGTGATTTTCTTCATATTTAATTGACAGCTTTAAAGAATTAGTAGTCAGGATTAAAGATTGTTAGTAATAATGGAACTATCTTTTATTTGCTGATGATTCTAAACGCAGATATCCGACCAGATGTCGGCCATGTTTGGGGAGTGCTGCTTTGACGTTGGAGACATGAAGTGCACCATGGGAACAGGAACGTTTGTAGATGTAAACACAGGCAGCTCAGCTCACGCCTCTGTAGCAGGTTGGATAGCCTACAGTATTTTGCAAACATTATTTAACCCTTTCACCCCATTTAACTTGAGTCGACTCTACCATTCATTGATTTGGATGAGTTCATTATGGTCTACAGTATTAGTGGTGAAAGGGTTAAGCTAATTGATGACATTAAATCAGAAATTTGGTATACTATACATATACATGGATGATATTTAATTAATAACTTCCATAGATTTCAATCTTTCCTGCTTTGTAACAATAACAGAAAATCAATCTGGAAGTTTTTATTTGTCTTTAGGTGATATCTTACAATTTAAAATCTTGATTTAAATAAAGAATGATAACAAGCAAAGTCGTCAATGTATTGATGTATCAAGTTCACGCACACGCAAAAAACAGCAATACTAAATCACAGATATGATACCATTGAAATAGTTATATTTGTGCCACTTAGTGAATCGACCTTGTCTTCTAATGGTTTAAATTTCAATATATAACAGGTAACAATTTTGTTTTTGAATACCAGTGAACTAAATTATATTTTCAGGGCTGTATCCTCAGATTGGCTGGAAGATAAAGGATGAACTGGTGTTTGTAGCAGAGGGTGCCATCAATGACACCGGCATTGTTATAGAGTGGGCCAAGTCTATGGGTAGGTGTGTCACAGACACCGGTATTGTTTTAGAGTGGGCCAAGTCTATCGGTAGGTGTGTCATAGACACGGGCATTGTTATAGAGTGGTCCACGGCAATGGGTAGGTGTGTCACTGACACCGGTATTGTTATAGATTGGGCCAAGTCTATGGGCAGGTTATCATGTTACAAACCCTGGCTTTGTTATAAAATGGGTCAAGGCTTGGGCCATTGGTAGGTGTGTCCTTGACACTGGTATTGTTATAGAATGGGCCATGTCTATGGGTAGGTGTGTCGCTAACACCGGCATTGTTATAAAGTGGGCCAAGTCTATGAGTAGGTTATCATGTTACCATCACTGGCTTTGTTATAAAATGGGTCAAGGCTTGGGCCATTGGTAGGTGTTTTAAAGACACTGGTATTGTTATAGAGTGGGTCAAGTCTATGGGTAGGTAATCGTGTTACAGAAACTAGCATTGTTATAGAATAGTCCATGTCTATGGGTAGGTGTGTCGCAGACACTGGCTTTGTTATAAAATGGGTCAAGGCTTGGGCCATTGGTAGGTGGTTCACAGACACTGGTATAATTATAGAGTGGGCCAAGTATATGGGTAGGTGTGTCACTGACACCGGTATTGTTATAGACTTGGACCACTCTATAACAATACCGGTGTCTGTGACACACCTGCCCATAGACATGGCCCATTCTATAACAATACCAGTGTCTGTAACACGATGACCTGCCCATAGACTTGGCCCAATCTATAACAATTCCAGTGTCTGTGAAACACCTACCAATCGCCCAGGACTTGACCCATTTTCTAACAAAGCCAGTGTTTGTAACATGAAAACCTACCCATAGACTTGACCCACTCTATAACAATAACGGTGTATGTAACAAACCTACCCATAGACTTGGACCACTCTATAACAATGCCCGTGTCTATGACACACCTACCCCTAGACTTAGCCCACTCTATAACAGTGCCGGTGTCAGCGACACACCCACCCATAGACTTGGCCCTCTCTATAACAATCCCAGGGTCTGTGACACGATGCCCTACCCATAGACTTGGCCACGGCAATGGGTAGGTGTGTGACAGACACCGGTATTGTTATAGACTTGGACCACTCTATAACAATGCCAGCGTCTGTAACACGATGACCGACCCATAGACTTGGCCCTCTCTATAACAATACCAGGGTCTGTGACACGATGCCCTACCCATAGACTTGGCACACTCTATAACAATGCCAGCGTCTTTGACGCACCTACCCATAGACTTGGCACACTCTATAACAATGCCGGTGTCATTGATGGCCCCCTCTGCTACAAACACCAGTTCATCCACACCTACCCATAGACTTGGCACACTCTATAACAATGCCGGTGCCATTGATGGAACCCTCTGCTACAAACACCAGTTCATCCACACCTACCCATAGACTTTGCCCACTCTATAACAATTCCAGTTTCTTTGACACACCTACCCACAGACTTGGCCCACTCTATACCAATACCGGTGTCTGTGACAAACCTACCCATTGCCGTGGCCAAGTCTATGGGTATGTGTGTCACAGACACTGGCCATGTTATGGAATGGGCCAAGGCTATGGGTAGGTGTGTCCCAGACACCGGTATTGTTATAGATTGGGCCAAGTCTATGGGGAGGTAATCGTGTTACAGAAACTAGCATTGTTATAGAATGTTCCATGTCTATGGGTAGGTGTGTTACATACACCCTTATTGTTATAGAGTGGGCAAAGTCTATGGGTAGGTGTGGATGAACTGGTGTTTGTAGCAGAGGGGGCCATCAATGACACCGGCATTGCTATAGAGTGGGCCAAGTATATGGGTAGGTGTGTCACTGACGCCGGTATTGTTATAGAGTGGGTCAAGTCTATGGGTAGGTGTGGATGAACTGGTGTTTGTAGCAGAGGGTGCCATCAATAACACCGGCATTGTTATAAAGTGGGCCAAGTCTATGGGTAGGTCATCGTGTTACAGAAACTAGCATTGTTATAGAATGGTCCATGTCTATGGGTAGGTGTGTCACAGACACTGGCAATGTTATGGAATGGGCCAAGGCTATGGGTAGGTGTGTCACAGTGAAATTTTGCAGAATCCTTCCATGGTCAAAGGTCAACAAAAATGGTGAATTTGTGAATTATATGGTCCCCAGCCCTCAGGGGCCTTAGGGGCGGGGCCAAAAAGGGTCAAATTGACTAAAATTTCAAAAATCTTCTTCTCGAGATCCAGATATGGTAGAATCAAATACTCTTCATAGATAGAAGGGTCTTGAGGTGCTTTACCAAAAGAGTGAATTTCATGACCCTGGTGTCTCACGTTTCCCCCTGGGGCGGGGTAAACTTTACAATAGTTTATATAGGGAAATGACATTTTTGACCAGCATTTGTTTAATTTCCATTGGAATTAATTCAAACTTGGTTAGCATTATCAGTATTGGATAGCAGTTTAATATGCACATATCAGCCCTGACTGACCCCCAGGGGCTGATGGGCGGGGCCGAAAAGGGTCAAAGTGACTAAAATTTCAAAAATCTTCTACTCAAGATCCAGATATGGTAGAATCAAATACTCTTCATAGATGGAAGGGTCTTAAGGTGCTTTACCATAATTCAGCTGACTGACAGAACCACTATTTGTACATAGTACATATACTACCTAGATCTTTCACACTACTTTTGCATTACATGTTGTTCAAGTTACCTTTGTTACAAAATGATTTCTATTTCATTTGGCAACATCGAAAAAACATCAGTTTTTACATAACTCAGCTGACCGTTAAAGCCCATAGGCCTCTTGTTATAGAAAGTCTATGGGTAGTTAATTGTCACAGATACTGGTATTGTTATAGAATGGGCCTAGTCTAGGGGTAGGTTATCATGTCACAGATACCGACTTTGTTTTAGAATGGTCCAAGTCTATGGGTAGGTGTGTCACAGACACTGACATTGTTTTAGAATGGGCCAAGGCTATGGGAAAATAATGGTTTCACAGAATTATTTAAGTAAATATCGACAGTGCTATTCAAGTCTATGAGTATTTTATTGACAACGTAATCTTAATTTTAACTCTCATGAAGTTTTTGGTATGTTCGAAATAATTTCATGTAATAAATTATGATTTGAAAGAAAAGTATCTGTGGCCATCATTTTGTTGAGATATTTTTTTAAATACCTGTCACACAGTTGTTCACTTCCATTGCTAAGGTGAAGTTGAAGATACAGCTACATACAGTGTAGTAATCCTCTTATATTAAGTACATGCGTGTATTAGCATGTCTATTTGTCTGTCAGTGAGTCTGTCTGTGTGTCTGTCCAACTATATGTAACAGAGGTCACTATTTTTTCAATGCCTCTGCCAGGAGTCGAACCCGGGACCTCTGGCTTACTAGTCTTACGCTCTACTGAATGAGCTAAAGAGAAAATCTCCCTAGCAGAGTTGGTAGGAAGCGGCTAGTATTTTACCAGGGTGATATATGCATGTTTTGTATGCCTGTATGAGTTTATTAGACAAGACCAGGTATAGCATCATACATAATATTTGTCCTTTTATTATAAACAGGTTTTTTTGATGATGTTGCCGACACATCAAGGATAGCTGAGTCAGTGCCAGGTAAATTATAATATCTTATAGAAATGTAATAGGATCCTTCACACTGAGGAAGTAATCACCATTTTGTGTAGAGAACCTTCACAATTTTGACCTTGAAACAACTGTAGGAAACTGTTACAGGCCCTATAAGCAGTGCTCTCCCCATTTATTCCTATCTGGAACAGCCCTAGTTTCATTATTATCTACACAGGCACATTTTGTTCAAGTAAATTTGATCTGGAAAATTCGAATTTGACCTAAACTGACATGAGGAAATTTTGCCTGTGTAGTAATATGATTCAATATCAGGCACAACGAGTACATTTTGATGTAAGTTGAATGAAAGAATCTGGAAAACCTGCTGAAAATCTTTTGAGATTTAAAAATAGAATTAAGTCTGAGATAAAGTCAGTTTGAGGCATATTAATGATGAAGAAATATTATGATATTAGCTATATATGATTAACTTTGTATTGTTTTTAAGTCTCCATTTAATTTGAAGACATTGTATCTAAGAAGTGGTTTTGTATGATACATGTAGTATATGTATTATATACAAGTCCTTTGGTTTTACAGGTTGTACATTTACATGTCCACATCTTTGTTCCAGATTCAGGCCAAGTCTGTATGGTCGCGGCTTTCAGTGGACTTCAGGTAACAATAACATCTTCACTGGTACACACATTTACCTGTGTGAGGTAACGCCTATTGTTACATGGTAGCAGTACATAAACTAATCAGGACGTATTAAAACTGTATATACAGTTTACTTACTATCATTTACATTTGCTTTATTTCTAACTTTTATAACTTTTTTGTCTTACATAACCAGGGAAGGAGTTTTTAGTTTACTAGTCACAGGATTTTTTCCAAACAAAAAGCCATACAATTCTCTAATGTTTATATCTATATACTAATATGGTGTCAGCTGAGTTTTTTTTATTGTGATATTGCTAACTGAAGAACCCTCTACTTCTTTCTTTCCTTCTGTTGTTAAGTCTTCTATCCTTTGTCTGCTGAGACCAGTCATTTTTACTCCCTTCCTTAATACAATGTACTCTCATTGTTCTATTCTATTACATGTGAAGTTGCCCACATATTTCTCAGGATAATTGAATGGATACTACAACAAACTTGTGGATTGTAGATGTGCCAGACATATGTTTTTACCCGATTCACTTTACAATATGGCCACTATAACGTCGGATTGGCGGACAAATCTTTGAGCTGAAATTTTATTGGAAATGTCTAGATATTATTCTCATATGATCCTAAGTAAACATCATATTTTTCTAATCAATGAAACTATCCACTTAAACTTCACACAGCTGTTGTTTTGACCTATAGTGAAATTTTGGTATTATTTTTGCCCTGTTTGAGAGATGTATGTAGCATTGTCAGTTAAAAGTAGCTCATCAGACTTATTTTTTATATAGGCCCCCATCAACGACGATAAGGCAGCCTCCTCTATCTTTGGGTTAAAACCGACCACCACCAAAGCTCATCTTGTACGCGCTTTACTAGAATCCATTGCCTTCAGATTCAAAATTCTGTATGAGGCGATTCTTAAAGAGTCCAAAGTGGAACTATCCAATACTATCAGGTAAGCCTCGCTGTACAGTAAGTCCTCAGATATTTATAAAATCTTTTACCTGTAACTGAGCAAGATTGGGTTATCTCAGTCGAAAGCTAGGATTCTGTAACATAATCCCAGCTGAGGGGTCAAAAAATGTAAGCATACAGTGTCTTTGGGATAAAAATCATATGTCATTATGTTATTTATAATTCTAATAAACAGAGTTTTGTTTTTGGTGTACAGAGAATAAGATTTTTAGTGGAGCAAGTGGCGAGAATATATTACAGCCAGTGATATCATCATCAATAAAAAACAAGTTTATTTAGCTGTGTACAAAATTGTCTATTTAAGGATTCGTGTCCTGCTGCCTTGTGCTTTTTCCTATATACAGTTACCTCCCCTTAACTTCCATTTCGATGTAACTGTAATTTTACAGAAATGATTTATAAAAACAATAGTTGTGCTGGTAAAATCAATTTTCAGTGCATAGATTCAGTTTTTGGCAGTGGTATGGGAATCCTTTAGAAAATGAACCATTTATAATTTTACTTTTAATATCATTTTATACATCTATCGGGTCACTAAGAATTGGTCATATGTTTATTTTCAATAGTTCCTGTTTTGCACTTTTGTTTATTGCACTAGATTTATCTACCAGTTGTTACCTTGACCTAGTGTATAGTAAAGGTAAACGTGAGTAACTCCTAAATGTTCAATGTCCACCAATTAAAACAGTTGTAGCTAGACATTCAATATAAATGAGAGGGATTATGTTTCACTCAGTTTTAATTAGACTTTAGGGCCCCTTTCGTGTATCTGATTCAACCAGTTGGCCCTTTCGTGTATCTGATTCAACCAGTTGGCCCTTTCGTGTATCTGATTCAACCAGTTGAAACGATTGAATCTAGAAAGAAAGCAACAGGCGCAAATCTGAACCGAGGCTGACCTCAAGAATATTCGACACGTGTAGATTGAGGGCTCCAGACGTGCCTGACCGAAACCAAAATGCTGATTTTTGCTAGTTTGCGATATTTCATACTAAAACAATGTCAAACCAGATGCAGATTTTAAAATATGTTAATTTAGTGGATGCGTGAAAGAAGGATATAATATTCTTGATATTTTGTTATCTATTCTCCGAAACTGTGTTTTTTCTAGCTCTGCCTATAGTTCGGTCCAAGTGCGTTCGTTAAACGTGGAATATTTCTGCACTACCTGAACCGTTTCAACCCTGATACGCGAATGTAACCTTGGAATAAATGTCATTAGATTAGATGTCTGTTAATTTGAACATTTTCACTTTTGTGATGTACCTGACCATGCACACTGACAACTGTCTAATATGGTGTCCTGTGGAACACGATGTAATAGTCATGGAATGTACATACTTTATATGGTAGTTTTCATGAAGAAATGTGATCACAGCATTATGTCGGTATTGAACAGACTATTACAATACAGAGGGGTTGGATTAGACAAGTTCCCCTGTATATAACACAATCTCATCAATATCACTGTGTAATGTGTAATGATCCTGACATTTCTGACCGTAATATTTGTTTCCTGTCTTGTTTTCTAGAGCTGATGGTGGGGTTTGCAATAACGATTTCTTGATGCAGCTGATTTCGGACCTCACTGGACAATTGATTGACCGATCCAAACAACGAGCAGACATAACCAGCCTTGGGGCTGCTTTTGTAGCTGGCTTACATGCAGGTGTGTATCATCAGAAATTCATTATTTTACGTATTTATACCTTATATGGATAAATTAATTAATTTCCAGCCAGTACCTGCATAACTTGTACAGTCACAAGGGAGTTTGAGTTTTCTCCCTTGTGATAAATATTGATACATTTGATAGTTATACATTATTTTACGAGGGTATAAAATAGCAAATTATTCACAAATGCAAAGTATGAGAGAAAACATTGAAGTATTTTCCATATTAATGACAACATTATTGACGATTTTCTGAAGTATATATCTTTGTATATTTTTTTCTTGTGTTTCTTAAAATCAATTTTAAGGTAGTGTTTATATATTTGCTCTGAGATACACCTTCTTTCCAAAGAGTTCGACAGTAAAACAATTTTAAAGTATCTTTTTCTATTTGCACAAATTAATCGCTCAGAAAAAAATGTGGAAACAGTAGAATTTGAAATGAACATTTGTTTGCTAAAATAGTCTGATACCTTTTATTGTAACTGGAAGTTCATTGATTTATATAAGATATTTCTTTTTTGTATGTTTACATGAATGACGTTTATCAATTTCAGGAGTTTGGAAAGATAAGGAGGAATTACGCAGTATACGAAAATCTGAGCAAATATTCAAACCAGACACGAAAAGATGGTCAGAATATAAAGAAGTGTTTACAGATTGGGAAAGAGCTGTGACTCGCTCTAAGGAGTGGTATTCACGGGATAGCTGAGCTGTGACTCACTCTAAGGAGTGGTATTCACGGGATAGTTGAGCTGTGACTCGCTTTAAGGAGTGGTATTCACGGGATAGTTGAGCTGTAATTCGCTCTAAAGAGTGGTATTTACGGGATAGTTAAGCTGAGACTCGCTCTAAGGAGTGGTATTCACGGGATAGTTGAGCTGTGACTTGCTCAAAGGAGTGATATTCACAGGATAGTTGAGCTGTGACTCGCTCTAAGAATTAGTATACACGGTATAGTTAAGCTGTAATTTGCTCTAAAGAGTGGTATTTACGGGATAGTTAAGCTGTGACTCGCTCTAAAGAGTGGTATTCATATGATATTTTAGCTGTGACTCACTCTAAGGAGTGGTATTTACATGACTGTTAAGTTTGGACTCACTAAAGAGAGTTGTATTCACGAGACAGTTAAGCTGTGACTCGCTCTAAAGAGTGGTATTTACGGGATAGTTATGCTGAGACTCGCTCTAAAGAGTGGTATTCATATGATATTTTAGCTGTGACTCACTCTAAGGAGTGGTATTTACATGACTGTTAAGTTTTGACTCACTAAAGAGAGTTGTATTCACGAGACAGTTAAGCTGTGACTCGCTCTAAAGAGTGGTATACACAGGATATAGTTAAGCTGTGATACGCTCTAAAGAATAGTATACACAGGATAGTTAAGCTGTGACTCGCTCTAAAGAATAGTATACACAATATAGTTAAGCTGTGATTCGCTCTAAAGAATAGTAAACACGGGATAGTTAAGCTGTGACTCGCTCTAAAGAGTGGAATTTACGGGATAGTTAAGCTAAGACTCGCTCTAAAAAGTGGTATTTATGGGATAGTTAAGCTGTGACTTGCTCTAAAGAGTGGTATTTATGGGATAGTTAAGCTGTGACTTGCTCTAAAAAGTGGTATTTATGGGATAGTTAAGCTGTGACTTGCTCTAAAGAGTGGTATTTACGGGATAGTTGAGCTGTGACTCACTCTAAGGAGTGGTTTACACAGGACTGTTTAGCTGTGCCTCACTCTGTGGTGTGGTATACACAGGACTGTTAAGCTGTGCCTAACTCTAAGGAGTGGTTTACACAGGACTGTTCAGCTGTGCCTCACTCTATGGACTGGTCTACACAGGACTGTTTAGCTGTGCCTCACTCTAAGGAGTGGTTTACACAGGACTGTTCAGCTGCGCCTCACTCTATGGACTGGTCTACACAGGACTGATGAGCAATTAAATAGTAAATCCAGAAATGTTCCAGAATTGTGCCAATTATTTACTGCAGTTTCGAAGGAGTTGTTTTAGATGTGATAAAATGTTCAAAGCTACAATTTACATTATTTTAGAAGTAAAGTAACAGACCAGGAAGATGTCGTAAATCCTCCCACTGAGATTACCAGATTGGTGTTGCTGAAGATGATAAGCAATACAGGGAAATGCTAAATGTGCTTGTTTGTTTAGGTTTAAAGGAGGTTTTATCATTAATATTAGTATATTTTTTACTATTTTTATATGTATTTTGGTGAAAAGATTGTGAATACATTTTTACTGCCTAAACAGGAACCTGTATATTATAGAGAGCTATGAACCAGAGCTTAGATAATATATTAGGTCTACTGTTACTGTCTGTATAACTTTTATGTTATTTAACTTGTGTAGTCTTGAAGTTATCAATATGTTTACAGTAATCAGGGTATATTGGTCCTAGTGTTATCTCATTAAGGTGGTCTTATACAATATCATTTATTCATTGAATATACCCGATAAAGGAATTCCTGTCACTGGAGAGATAATGAAGAAAATGGGTAATGAACAGTTAGTAAATGTCAGGATCTGTACAGATCACTTAATCTTTCACTTTTTTATTCTTTTCTATTTATGGAAACATATCACATACTGTTAAGCTACACCTACTCAAAAGAATATTTAAAATAATTGTAGTCAACTTTTGTTACTTCATTGATGTATTCAGTATAATGGAAAGTATATTTACTTAGTGAGATAAAGGTAAGAGTAGAGCCACCATTTTCATGCTACTGCAGAGTACCTTACTGTGCTTTCAGTTCAAGTTTGTCACAAGTTGATGTTATTTATCGAAAGTATATTAACTATATATATATATATCTGAATGAGAAATGAGGTTAGGATGTATGTGTAAATAGCATATACAAAAAAAACCTGTGCCATGAAGTGAAGATTTCGTTATAGACAAATGCGCTCAAATTCTATACATACACATACATGTGTTCTATTTTACTATACTGTAAGTATTCGTGTATAGTGCACACCTTTCTTAGGGGAAGATGATAATACCGAAATAAAGGGAGGTGTACTATACACAGGAACAATCCAAAACCAGTCCTGAGTCAGGACCATTTATCGGAAATTGTTCAGGGATTTTCGGAAATGTTTTAAAACATAATTAATTTCTTAGGAGAATGTGTTCATTTAGTTTACCTTCATAGTGACCTGCCTCAGGGGTTGATGCTATCAGTACAGCTTGCCATGTCTTCAATAAAAAATCTCAGTGTTTTTTTTTGTTTTTTTCTTCATATTTTTTCTTTTTCTTTTTCACCCAAAAAGTACCTGCGCATTATACGAGAATATAAATGGTATGTGTGTTTTTCTTAAAATGCAGATTGACACTAGAAAATGTTGTTAATATGAGAAACTTTTTAACTCAAAATATTTTAGCTGTGATATTCTACATTCCATTTCTGTGTACTACCATTGAGGTAGGGGTTGTAATAATTGGTGGAGATTTCCCAACATGCTGGTTTGATTCAATGAATGGGTTTTTTATCGATAAATCAAAGGCATGGTGTCTTTTCACCCCAAACCATTCAGTAGGTTGTTAAGTGCAAGTGTGTTTTCTCTGTTATCTCGCAATTATGGATCGTGTATATATTATATACCCGGTATTTTATAAAATGTTATCCGTGTTAATTTGTATGCTGATTTGAAGTTTTGGAAGGCCATTTCAAACACCTTATATGGACTTAATGACGTATGAAATACATAAATGTATAAAGAAAATGCCAATGAAATGTAACTTGTAAAATTCCAAATGAATTTAATTCACTATCACTGCCCTAAATGATACTTTAACTAATTAAACACTGTATAGCAGTAAAAGTTTTGGTGATTTTGAACATAAGAGTATCACACTTGGTAAGCGTACTTAGATCAACAGATTATCCTATGGCAATATAAGCTAAGGATCTTAATTGAAATAAAAGCAGTCTTTTCATCGAAGACAGTAACAGATTTATGTAAAAAAATGAAATGAAATTTAACCTCATGGATACCAAAGAATCAGTTTTCTGCCTTTTTATAATCAACAAATAAAGAATTCAGTTTTCACCTGTTATATAATTTATCAATATAACTATTCATGAGAAAGTTTTACAAGTACTTACAGTTATTATTTTCTTATCTACATGGCAGCTCAATGGAGATTCCAGCTATGTGATTGTGAAAGAATATTGAGATGTAAAATATTTGTACTGTTTGACTCCATAAGCGCCTTATATTGTCAATCATCACACTGTGTACATGTGTATGTACAGGAAATAAACGTACCATCTTCTGTCACCTGGTTTTCGTAGAATCGGGAGCATTTTCAAAGGATATCATTAATCTGTTCAGAAAATTCGAAAATTCAACAGTGTATCATAATTATAGATATATGTTTTCAGATGTTGTGTACCATTATCGTTTTTAGTGAGCTGTAATATTGTTATGTTATTTTATATACATTTTGTGCAACGATATATATCTTACCTTTGTCTTCAGTCTGATTGTTTAAATCATAATAAATATTATATTTTCCTATCAGTTTATACTTCAGTATGACAAAATTGTTCTCAAAAAAGGTTCTGTATCTTTCATCTTGTTTGACACTGTGTTATGATAAATATCATATTGTTGGATTCTGTTCATTACTCATGTTAGGGCAATTCTTGTACCTGTTTTTAGGAGGCATGGTAGTCTAGTGGTAGGATGCCAGGCTCGTGACCGAAGGGTTGTGAGTTCGAGTCATGGCACGGCACTGTGTTGTATCTTTGAGCAAGATACTTTATTCCGCTTGTTCCAGTCTACTCAGCTGTAAATGAGTACGTGGTTGGGTAGTGCAAGAATTGTAGAATGCTAGCTGTGAATGCTGAAATGGCAACACCAGCTGTATGTTGTATGTTCCCCAGTGAGTTGAGAAAGATGTTGGCTGGTTGCAAAGACCCTATAACCACGGAATAATAATTTGTGAACGACTTTGAGACGACCTACAAACTTGTGATAAAGCGGTATATAAGATCCTCCAATTATTATTCTTATCATTAATTATTTGACAAGTTAATGTATTTGATTTGATTATCATAAAAGTTCTGTATGATTGCATATTATTATATTTATCGTTGTATGATATTACATTTTGTACCACTATATAACCCTACAACATTCAGATGACATTCATTTTGGCTATGAATGCCATAACTGGATTATTGACCTCATCATTATACTAATGTCATAACTGTTAAGTTGGATACCACTGCCTCTCCCTGGACTGATGTCTGTCTATTAAACAAGCATATTTAATAAATGCATTATTTGAAATTAATGCTGGATATTGATAAATGTAATTGAGTTTATTCTGTAAGATAAACAGATTTAAATAAAAGTGGTAAATTTAAGTAGTGAACTACATCCAGATGGCATTCACAGGCAACTTGACAAAGGCAAATTCAATATATAATCTGTCACATGTGCAATAAATATGTGTATACTGGTTTACTAATATGTCATCACAGTTTATTTTTTATTTTTTAACCTCACCTGGCCGGAAGGGCCAAGTCAGCTTATCCCGTGGTGCAGCATCCGTCTGTTTGGCGTCAACTTACGGGCCAAGTCAGCTTATGCTGTGGTGCGGCATCCATCGTCTGACTGTCATCCCTCTGTCCGGCGTCAACTTTTTGCTTTTGACAACTTCTTCTGAATAACCAAGAGGTCTAGGGGGTTTGATATTTGTCCAGAAGCATACTGGCATGAAGAACTACTAAGATTATTCAAATAAATGACCTTCACCTATTTTCAAAGTCATTTGGGTATAATATGTTAAAATCTTTTAATAACTGCTTCTGTATAACCAGAAGGCCCAGGATAATGATATCTGGCCAGTAACATGTTGGGATGAAGGGCTACCAAATTTGTTCAATTAAATGATTTTGACCTATATTCAAGGTCACAGGAGTCAAATGTGTATAAATCTTTCCACCGGTTCTTTATATGATTTACGGTCATATATCTGTTACTATAGTTACATTACTCAGTCATGTGTTAGTACTTTCTGTGTAACTTTATTTTAGTCCACTTTTAAGGTTATTAGTTTGAGATTAATACCAGGTGAGCGATGCAGGCCGATTGCGCCTCTTGTTATTAGACTTATGTTACATTATATGAGGACTGTTGAAACAAAAAAATGAATCAAGTAGGTCGATTGATAGTGAACTTAGCTTTTACCAAGATGGCTGGGGATTAAAAATAGCAATGAAAAGGTATGGGGTTACCTGTCCAACCACATGGATTTCTCCAGGTACTTCAGTTTCCTCCCACAAAGCTCCTGTTTGCTACCATCCATGCCAGTGAGAGTGATCAATAAAAACTGAAAGAAATAAAGTCTAAATCTATATACAGTGTAACAATAGTAAAATACAGATAAGGCCTGTATAACTAAGGCTACTATACACATACATGACTTCAGGTACTATAGTGACATTACACAGACATGACTTCTGTTACTATAGTGACATTACACAGACATGGCTTCTGGTACTATAGTGACATTACACAGACATGATTTCTGGTACTATAGTGACATTACACAGACCTGACTTTTGGTACTATAGTAACATTACACAGACATGACTTCTGGTTCTATAGTGACATTACACAGACATGATTTCTGGTACTATAGTGACATTACACAAACATGACTTCTGGTACTATAGTGATATTACAGAGACATGACTTCTGTTACTATAGTTACATTACACAGACATGACTTCTGGTACTATAGTGACATTACACAAACATGACTTCTGGTACAATAGTGACATTACACAGACATGACTTCTGGTACTATATAACATTGCACAGACATGACTTCTGTTACTATAGTGACATTACACAGACATGACTTCTGGAACTATAGTAACATTGCACAGAAATGACTTCTGGTACTATAGTGACATTACACAGCCATGACTTCTGGTACTATAGTGACATTACACAGACATGACTTCTGGTACTATAGTAGCATTGCACAGACATGACTTCTGGTACTATAGTAACATTACACAGACAGGACTTCTGGTACTATAGTAACATTACACATACATGACTTCTGTTACTATAGTAACATTACACCGACATGACTTCTGTTACTATAGTGACATTACACAGACATGACATGTATACCTATAGTTACTTTACACAGACATGACCTGTATCACTATACAAATGTAGTTACTTTACACAGACATGACCTGTATCACTATAGTTACTTTACACAGACATGACCTGTATCACTATAGTTACTTTATACTATAGTAACATTACCCATACATGTCTTCTGTTACTATAGTAACATTACAGACATGACCTGTTACTAAAGTAACATTACACAGACATGATCTGTATCACTAAAGTAACATTATACAGACATGACCTGTATAACTATAGTGTTAATATAGTGACATTACACAGACATGACTTCTGTTACTATAGTAACATTACACAGACATGATCTGTATCACTATAGTTACTTAACACATACATGATCTGTATCACTATAGTAACATTACAGACATGACCTGTTACTAAAGTAACATTACACAGACATGATCTGTATCACTATAGTTACTTTGCACAGACAGGACCTGTATCACTATAGTTACTTTACACAGCCATGATCTGTATCACTATAGTAACATTATACAGACATGACCTGTATAACTATAGTAACATTACACAGACATGACATGTATACCTATAGTTACTTTACACAAACATGACTTCTGTATCACTATAGTAACATTACACAGACATGACCTGTATCACTATAGTTACTTTACACAGACATGACCTGTATCACTATAGTTACTTTACACAGACATGACCTGTATAACTATAGTAACTTTACACAGACATGACCTGTATCACTATACAAATGTAGTTACTTTACACAGAACTGACCTGTATCACTGTAGTTACTTTACACAGACATGACCTGTATAACTATAGTTACTTTATACAGAAATGACCTGTATCACTATAGTTACTTTACACAGACATGACCTGTATAACTATAGTTACTTTACACAGACATGACCTGTATAACTAGAGCTACTTTATACAGAACTGACCTGTATCACTATAGTTACTTTACACAGACATGACCTGTATAACTATAGTTACTTTACACAGACATGACCTGTATCACTATAGTTACTTTACACAGACATGACCTGTATCACTATAGTTACTTTACACAGACATGACCTGTATAACTATAGTTACTTTACACAGACATGACCTGTATCACTACTATCAAATTACACAGACATGACCTGTATCACTACTGTCAAATTACACAGACATGACCTGTATCACTATAGTTACTTTACACAGACATGACCTGTATCACTGGTTACTTTACACGGACATGACCTGTATAACTTTAGTTACTTAACACAGACATGACCTGTATAACTATAGTAACATTACACAGACATGACCTGTATCACTACTGTCAAATTACACAGACATGACCTGTAACAGACATGACCTGTATAACTTTGGTTACTTAACACAGACAAGACCTGTATCACTATAGTAACATTATACAGACATGACCTGTATCTCTGGTTACTTTACACGGACATGTCCTGTATAACTTTAGTTACTTAACACAGACATGACCTGTATAACTTTAGTTACTTAACACAGACAAGACCTGTATAACTATAGTTACTTTACACATACATAACTTCTGTTACATGACCTGTATCACTGGTTACTTTACACGGACATGACCTGTATAACTATAGGAACATTACACAGACATGTCCGGTATCACGATAGTTACTTTACACAGACATGACCTGTATCACTATAGTTACTTTACACATACATAACTTCTGTTACTATAGTAACATTACACAGACATGACCTGTATCACTATAGTTACTTTACACAGACAATACCTGTATCACTATGGTAACATTACACAGACATGACCTGTATCGTTATAGTGACATTACACAGACATGACCTTTGTTACTATAGAGATATACACAGACAAGACCTGTATCACTATAGATACTTTACACAGACATGACCTGTATCACTTCAGTAACATAACACTGACATGACCTGTATCACTATAGTTACTTTACACAGACATGACCTGTATCACTATAGTAACATAACACATATATGACCTGTATCGCTATAGTAACATAATAGAGACATGAGCTGTATCACTATGGTTACAGTACACTGTCATGGCTTTTAACCTGACAACTACCGCTGTTGACGCTTCACATTTGCGGTTAAGTGAGGCATATGGAAGTAGGATAAAAAGCGACAGAGAAACATAACCACAACAATAAACTATAAAGAGACGTCAACAGTTATAAACATAAATGACATTAATATGCTAATTTGTTGACATGTGCTACATTTCCTAACTGCTATCAGTTGTTCATTTCCTTATAAACTTTAATAGAGTCGTTGGTCAAAGGGAAGATTGACAGGTGATAGGCTTGTTTACCTTTAGATCAAAAGCAGGTAAAATCAGTGTGTCGTTAATACTAACACTCTTCGTCGTCTGCTTCTTTATACAGTTATTGTCTAGTTGTTTATTTGTCGGGCACATCTTAACGCTGACATGTATTTGTATAATGTATTTGTTATATATATTTCATAATGTATATAATAAAGATGATCTGTACACTGACGAGTTGGTTTTTTATATCTGTACACTGACATGTTGGTATTTTATATCTGTTCACGGACGAGTTGGTATTTTATATCTGTACACTGACATGTTGGTATATATATCTGTTCACGGACGTGTTGGTATTTTATATCTGTACACTGACATGTTGGTATATATAATTGTTCACGGACGAGTTGGTATTTTATATCTGTACACTGACATGTTGATATTTTATATCTGTACACTGACATGTTGGTATTTTATATCTGTACACTGACGTGTTGGTATTTTATATCCGTACACTGACATATTGGTATTTTATATCCGTACGCTGACATGTTGGTATTTTATATCTGTACCCTGACGAGTTGGTATTTTATATCTGTACCCTGACGTGTCGGTATTTTATATTCGTACACTGACATGTTGGTATTTTATATCTGTACACTGACGTTTTGGTATTTTATATCTGTACATTTACGTGTTGGTATTTATATCTGTACACTGGCGTGTTGGTATTTTATATTTCTGTACACTTACATGTTGGTATTTTATATCTGTACACTGACGAGTTGGTATTTTATATCTGTACACTGACATGTTGGTATTTTATATCTGTACACTGACGAGTTGGTATTTTATATCTGTACACTGACGTGTTGGTATTTTATATCTGTACCCTGACGAGTTGGTATTTTATATCCGTACACTGACGTGTTGGTATTTTTGATATCTGTACACTGACATGTTGGTATTTTATATCCGTACACTGACGTGTTGGTATTTTATATCTGTACAATGACGAGTTGGTATTTTATATCTGTACACTGACGTGTTGGTATTTTGTATCCGTACACTGACATGTTGGTATTTTATATCTGTACCCTGACGTGTCGGTATTTTATATCCGTACACTGACATGTTGGTATTTTATATCCGTACACTGACATGTTGGTATTTTATATCTGTACACTGACGTTTTGGTATTTTATATCTGTACACTTACGTGTTGGTATTTATATCTGTACACTGGCGTGTTGGTATTTTATATTTCTGTACACTGACATGTTGGTATTTTATATCCGTACACTGACGTGTTGGTATTTTTGATATCTGTACACTGACATGTTGGTATTTTATATCTGTACACTGTCGAGTTGGTATTTTATATCTGTACACTGACGTGTTGGTACCTTATATTTGGGGTATTTATACGATGATCAGTACCATTCCTGTATGTTTACTGGGTATTATATACACTTCGTATTGTTTGTCATAATCTGTATATGTATATCACTTCAATAAGATTTTACATAAAATTAAACGAAATTAGTGTGAGTCATTTTTGGATATTTTAAAAGGTGATGTCTCTAAATTTCTCTTTATGCTGATTGTCTTTGTTATTTTCTGTCTCCAGGGTTGTTGTGTACTCCTGTCTGCATTAGTTTGATTTTATTTTGTCAGAGTTATTTAGTCAAACCTTTGTTCAGAGAATACCTCAGAGTCTATAGACTGTTCTCTTAATGCAAGTTGAGTTTGCGATGAAAATCAACACAATGAGAAGTTTTAAAAGTGGTATCTTAACACAGGTCCTGTTTACAAAACGTTCACTATAATGGAGAGTTATAGTGATCTTGTAACACGTGCCGTTAATAGAGGTGACCTTGAACATGTTTGACGGTTTGAGTTAGCCCTGCACTTTGTGTGTTTGATAGACAGGACAAGCAATAAATGATTCTAAAAAGCTATTCAGACGTGGCGTGAAAATACATGTCTAGCAACAAAAACAAAAATATTCTCTCGATTAGTCGTTTTCGACATCGTGATCAGAAAATGATATGAATTCTTAATTTAAACGTTGCTAAATCAAAATGTTCTTCTTTTCTTGAAAATCCATTCAAATTTAGACAGATTATGCGAAATTTTATTATATTTATGTCCATTTGTGTTCTGTCGCATTATGATGCGTCACTGAAAAATTATAGACAGAATTCAAATTTTGACTTTGTCTACGGTTCTCGCGTGATCCTGGAGCCATGCAAATGCATTCAGTCATTTAAGTAAGTGGTCTTTGGCAAAAAGAAAGTGTTTATTATAGCATTTAAATCTAAGACAGGTGACATTTATTGTCCTCGTGAACGTCAACCGATATATACAAGCCTATTATAAGTGCTGGGGTTCGTCTGATTTTCCTCTGTCATTTAAACATGACAAAAACACTGACAGTACAAAATGTTACCGGGAAACCTTTCGCAACTTTCCTTTGTAGAGATAACTTTTGACGTTTGTAAGACAAATGTGACAAAAAATCGAGTAAGTCATCAATGAATTGTTGAGGCAACAAGAATTTCTTTTAACGCGAGTTAAAGTGACATCCCTCTCCATTCCCCAACAGCTTAACATGCATGAGGAGCGCCCTCCCGACCGGCCTTGGCTTCCGCTGGATGACTTGCTTAAACATCGTTCGATTTTGATGAAACTTGTTAATCTTGTACACTATTTATGGAGACTGAGGCTTAGTTCGGTGTTGGGTGAAGTCCCCAAATAATTTACTAGCACACTGTGCTTTGATTGCAAAATATATGCACACTTCATTTTCCACAAGATACATATTTAAGCATTGAACTGCTTTTATATGGTATTTATGATCTATTTGAATGACACAGCTTTGCAAGCAAACAACATAATGCGCGCTAGTCATTCAAATAGATCATAAATACCATACAAAAACAGTTCAATACTTATATTTACGTTTTCTCCGCCTCTTATGATCTTTTTTAACTTACAATTGATATTTAAAATTTAAAATTCCCGCCTTATCGACGGTCCACACAAATTCGTTCAATAGTTGGAACGNCGTTCAATATTTGGAACAGCGTGTTGTCGCGTGCTGATTGGCAAACAAATTTTTAACAAACACTTCAATTTTATTCCACAATTCAGTACCAAAACAATTGCGTATGATATGTCTATAGGTTGATTTAAGTTTATCAATAGAACTCTGAGCTGAAATTTAGTTCGATTTTTCCCCGGAACAAATTCGCGCATGGATAAATACAGTGAACACCGTAAATCCGACCTTGCCTTCCACGAGGTATAACATTTAATCATATTTCAACTTAAGGTAAAGACTTTTTCTCTTAAGTGAAATTCTTTTTACCTTAAGTGAAATTCTTTTTCACTTAAGTGAAAAAACACATAATGAAAATGGTTTATTTATCTTAAGGTAAAAAAATATTTCTCCTAAGTGAAATACATTTGGCGTATAGTTTACCTTAAGATGAAATATTATTAAATGTTAAAACGGTATGCCATAACGAGGGAGTTATTTTTGGAAGTTAAACGAGCAAAGAGAAAAGTTCGAATTTGTGAAGAATTCAGACGTGAATTTATTTGTTGATTGTATGGGAATCTGACTACAGTCGGTAGATTCTTTAACAGCCTCGTTATTTGACATGTCGTTAAAAACTGAGGATGCTGTTTGACGGCCTATCGCAGTATTCCAGTAAATGTAAATGTAAACCGTGGCTGCGAGACGACTGAAACTGATCTTGCGACGGAGCACAGGGGTTCGTTACAAATGTCTGAAATGTTTATGTGTGCTGTGACATATGTGTCAGTAGGTCTATAGAATATGTGTATTTCAGACATTTGTAACGAACCCCTGTTGATCAGTGCAGTGTAACAGACGATATTTCTGATAAATTTCATGAGTGTTAAAATTGTTTCCATTGCCGGCATTGGTGATTTCAACTGATGCGCATTTTGTACGATATTGCAGACTTTGGTCTTTTTGTTGTTGTAATAAAAGTTTTTTTTGTATTTTCTTTTTTCTTTTGCACATAAATTTACAATTACATTGTCAAGTCTCACAATGCCCAGCGATATTTCAACAGCCGTCATGTTTATTTACATTGGATATTGTAGTTCCGGTCAGTGTTGTATTAATACGCTAAGATTTGTGTCTCGTGCTGCATGGTAATCAAAGTCCCATCAACGACACATCTTTCAAAGGGGCTATAAAGTGACAATGCCATGCAAATGTAAATATAACTTACTTTAACATTATTCGATTTAGATAAAACGTTGCAAACATCGTCAATATACAATGACTGAGGCTAAGTTTGATGTTGAGCAAAATCTACGCATACTTAATAAGCATACTACGCTGTGATTGATTGAATGACGATGTCCCAACAATAACATGGCCAAATATGACTCTATTCTGATGAAACTTGACCAATATTTGCATTATTAAAAATCAAAGGATAAGTTCATTGTAGAACTAAATCTACGCATTATTGTAAGCATTCTGAAGGGTCGATGGTTTTCGCACAGTCATTTGATCAGATGTGACGGTATTCTGATTATATATAATGAGACTTGGTAAATATTCACACATCTTCTAATAAAGATATCTGCCAGTAATTATTAAGCAATCGGATATATCTTTGGTTGTAATGGTGTAAGATGAATGTATTATTGGCAAAAATGGATATTTTCAATTTCTAATTTCTTGGTTTGAAAAATGGAGAAGGGAAGCATTTCTGGCGCAACTTATTTTATAAAGGTTGTAAATCTTCACCTCATACTTCCATATTTTCATACATTAAGATAAAATAATGCATCAGAAGGATTTAAAGAGCCAGCTAGGCATGGGATGGGCGTATATTGTTCCGTCCTGCGATTCTCTTTTTTGAGAAATGTGAAGGTAAGCGATTTGGTAAATCGAACGATTACTTTGTGCTGCAGTCTTCCTGCGTTTAAAACAATCGAGACTGTCCTTGGCGATGAATTTCCCCCCATGTTCGGTAATATCTTTGCGATAAAAACAGTTCATTGTTTTGCTTTGCCTTTTTATATACTGACGCAACAATCCCATATATTTTGTATTTCGGCATCATATGTTTGTGTTTAAATAATATATAAAAATACTATTGGAAGGTAAATCAACTCATAAATATCATTTAAAATGATGTCTTAACTACAAAGCGTAGCTGTACTTAACACGCGTACCGATTTGTTGACATGATTCTATA